TCAGCGCTCCTGTTCTACAGCCTTTCCTTCCTGGGAAAGGGCACCAGGGATGAGCCTGCCCCATCTCCACTGATGGCAACAAGTGCCACGCACTCAGCGTCCATCCCAGCTTGGTGTCACCCTCAGCCCCCGCGCATGTTGGTTTGGGAGACCCTCAGCATTGAGCTTCACCTTGCTGTTCAGCACCTTCTGAGAGGAGAGGTTACAGAAACCTCACCAAAAAATAGTTGATTAATAGAAAAGCACAGGCACCCCTGCTGGAAACTGAGCATCCTCAGCCCCAATTGATTTGGTGTGAATTGATGCTCTGTGATTCATCTGCCCGCATCAGATCTTTGCCCATGACAAAACCTGAAGAGATACGTTTCCATGTAGTACCTATATTGTGATAATCAGACTGCATCTGATGATTAAATCCATATTTCTGCTGACTTAACTCACATTAAGCAGTCATAGCTGGCATTCTAGGACCCACAGGAAAAAAAAAATCACAGAACACTTCTGTGAGATTCTGACAGTGCAAAAATAAAAATAAGCCTACCAACATCACAACAAGGACTGGGCTTATTTGGATCGCGGAAGTTTAATTATAAAAATTGCATTTTAATTGATTGCTGCTGGAATAATTACAGCAATACCTTTCCAAGAAATGGCGACCACTGTATGTTTATCAACAGAGAGGCTTCTTTTAATTCAATGTGCAATAATTATTTAATTAAGCCAAATTTAGATCCTCATTTGAGGAAATTCAAATGTTTGCCTATTCCTCCCTGTCTCTGAGAGGTAATTTAAGGGATAAAAGCAATCTCCAGAAATAACACATCTATATACAAATGTATCCAGGAAAAAAAAAAAAAAAAAAGAACTACTTAATTTTGTAGCTTATCTGAATCTAGGCTTGCTATTATTGATAAGAACATAAGCACTGAGTGAGTGATCGCTGCAAATCTTTGGTGAATTGGTGGTGGGATCCCTTTTAAACCCYGAGCAGGCGTTGGCCGCATGTTCCTTTTCTAACCCATGCTGTGGATTCAAACGCTGTTGTTCCAGCAGCACCCTCAGGCCCTGCTCAGCAGGAGGACCCCACAGTGGCTGCAAGGAGAGAGAGAGAGACTTAATTCCTTGAGGAATGGGGATGTTGGTTTTCAGCCTCTTGGCAATTTTTCCTGCAATTGCAAAATGCTGCGGACTCCCCCGTTCCTGGGGAGCGGCTCCTGGTGCCTCTCTGAGCGGAGCAGCGCGAAGCGCCGCTCCGGGCTGGCTGCTGCACTGCTCGCGCGGGGCTCCCGGCCGCGGGTTGTGCCTGGCAGCCCTGYGAGGCACGCCGGGTGCACCCTAAATAACACAGCCTAAACACAGCCTAACACCAAGCAGCTGGTGCCCAGACAACTCATATCCTCAAGGCCAGCACGGAGACCCCCACCTCGCCCACATTAATGTGTTATACACGTGCAGATAGGGCTGGGAGGTGGCAGAGGTGAGAGGCGTCCCCTGAATGGGATGCTCTTGATAGCAGCCTCGAGTAGACAAGTTATCCCCACAGCACATCATGCTTTTGGGCACCATGGACCTTCCAGGGATCGAAACCTGCAGCTCCCTCCTCACTTCAGCCTTCCCTGTGCCTTGGCACAGGGCACCTCCACTCTCTGCTCCGACCTGCAGCATCTCCTGCCAAGCTGGGTCTGCCCAACAGTCACTCGCAGCAACACCCGGCAGGACAGAGCTTACTGGAGATGACATTGGGGCCATAAATTGCTTCTCTGATCATGGCCAAAGACAAAGAGTGAGAACAGGTCTTCAAAGGTGGCCAGAMGAGTTTTGCTCTGCTGCAGTGCTATACAACCCTTTTTGCTCTATCACACCGTCATTTTATCCTTAAGTGTCACCTGGCACTACTGCTGCAGAAGGAAGGGCTGTAAGTTCACCTCCTCCTCAGATAACTGTCTCAGCACTAGGAGAAGCAGCACAAAAGTAGAAAGTCTTCTAACCTTTAAATAAGAGCATGCAGAGGGGCAGGATATGTATTTTCATAGCAGGGGCTGGCRAGCCACATGCTATACTCAGGTGCACACACAGAGCTATTGGTTACCGTAAGTTCTACGGGGTGGGCAGAATTCAGGAATATATTTCAGTTACTGAAATATAATAGGATCATAGGAACCTTACGTCTACTTTGAACACATGGAGGTATTCAAAAATCACGGTGCAATAGTGAGAAGTCCTGTGAGAATTATTACTGGGCTGTCACGGTGACAGCACAGCCGCAGCCTCCTACTATTTGTCAAGGTTTACCACCTTCGTGGATTTTTTGTAACCAATATACAATTMTTACTAGCACATCATTAACGGATCCCTATCACTGTCACCTATGAATACATCTTAGGCTGCAAGTTCATCCACTGTCACACCAAAACTCACTCATCCTCCCTGCCAAGCAGATATATATCAGTCAGAGGTAGATGGTGTCACAGCCAATGCCGAGATAGATTTTGCATCCTATCTCCTTCGACAGGGTKCTGTCACTTTGCTGCGGTTCCTCCTGGCGCTTCATCATTGTCTCACAACCCACCCATCGAGGCTCTTTGCTCCTGCAGTCACTGCTGGCTCCTAATACATGTTTTCTGCTTTGAAGGAGGCRTCTTCAGACACTTGCCACAAAGCCTGTGCCTAGCACATGAGGAGGGATGGGGACACATGGGGACTCGCCATGGGGCTGTGCCTGGTAGCCTCACTCGGACGTCCCGCTCGAGCCCCCGAGATGGGCAGTGCCAGGATTATAGCCCAATGATAGGGATACAGGTAACCCCTGCTACGGAGAAATGCTGTGTTCTCTATCTCCATGGGAACAAAAATTGGTGCTTGTAACTGGTAGCATGGACAGGCTTTTCTCAGAAGACAAGGACCACTGCGTGGGTAGGCTTTCATTCTCRGTAAATAAACAGATCTTTCTGCTAATATCTAGTCTTGGCAACTGGGTAGGGAATTTGTTAGAAGATAGAGATAATTCCTAGCAGAAGTTTCACCCCAGATTTGTAGAGTATCAAAACCAGATCTCCTATAGCTTGCTTTCCCCCTTCCCAATGCCCCCTTGTTAGGAGACGTGGATTAACTCTTTCTTCTATGCTTACAATACCTTGAAGAACTTGGGAAGTTTTTAATTAAAAAAAAAAAAAAAAAAGAAAGAAAAAAAAAGAAACGAGGACAAGTGAAGTTGGACTGTGCAGAGTGCTTTGCTGGTCTGATCTAGGACAATGTGCCCTACATAGAGCTCAAATATAACATCCTTTGGGAGGCTGCCTTGCTTCCATTCAGCTTTTGCAAGACCACCTCCGCCCCCGTGATACTAATGACAGATTTCTGAAGCGCAACTCCCATTCTGGTCTCGCTGTCATTTCTAATGCTATAAACAAAATCATTAGTAGCAGGCGTGCAGAGGGAGGGCAAACTAGGCACAGACAGATAATTTGCTCTATAGTGACATATTCTTGCAGTTCGTGCTTCCTCGCTGCTATTGGCACTGAAATAGCTTATCCCCAGCCACAGTCAGCAAACTCTGCCGCAGGTGGGTGACACCTTCCCATGATAGATACAAGGTCTGTCTTTTYCTCATTTTTGTCTATCTTTTCCTGCCAAAGAAATGCCATTGGATTGGGCTAAAATAGTTGCTCTTGTTGATGGAAGCCTTGTAGTTGGCAGCTAGAGGGATATTAAGGAAAACAGAAAATCTTTASATGTGTCATTAGATACTCCAGTGAAAGCACGGTCAAATTATTACTTCTCTCTCCTTCCATGTCTAACTGCCCAAGAAATTCCTGCAATCTTGTACTTTCAAACAACCAACAGGAAGAAAAGCGCAACTTTCCTTTCCTTCCGAGAGCCCTGTTAACTCTCCTCCTGCACATTCCTGGGTGCTTTGTGCAGGAAGGCATTTCTCCCTTCTGTGCAGCCTCTAGCAGAGAGAACAGTTTGTGTCCACCTCTATCCCACTCTCCACATGACTAAACTGCCGGCAGGATGTTTCTGTGAATCAAAAGGATGCTGGAGACACGAGCCAACGACAACCCACCAACTCCAGGAGGGAAAGGGCTCCTTCAGTCCCTCCTGTTCCACATTCCCACACAGGGAATGAACATGCTGTGCTCCACGCTAGGTCCAACTGAGTAATTCTTTGTGCTTCAAACCCCAGCAGCATCAGCCCATCTTACACAGCCCTGTGCTGCTTATGCCAAACACTGCAATGTCRCTCTTGCAACTGCAGGGCTTTGGTTTGGGTGTTGTTTTCCTCTGTGGCCTTTTTTATTCCTAGTCTTGACATCACCTGGCAATCCATCTTTTCTCCAACTCTATTGCATAACAAGAACGGCACAGGTACTGTGMTGTGCTTCAGCAGTGTGCAACCAAGCTCCGGGAACAAGCCCGCTGTGCCGGGTCTATCTTAAACACTCATTTTTGGTGGCTATTTCACTGTTGCTTGAAACAAAAACTCTCCTATCTCTCTGTCATTATTGGGCACGTCCCTTATTTCAGATCTGGACTTGCTCTACACCAAGCTGCTATTTTACGCTCCGTCTTTCTTAAGAGGGAGGACAGATGGCTAAAATGGGGCTGGAGATGAAGTTGTTCGCACTAAACAGACACTTTTGTGCCTCCAGTGGGTGGAAAGGGGTGTCTGTGTTGCACATCATGGTTGTAGGAAACACARCAAAGAAACCTTGATGAGAGGACTCAGGCAGAGGTTAGAGAGCCAAGAGGAAACAAGTTGTAGGGGCTATTACAGCGCTTTGGAAATATCAAAGAGAAAATGCAAGATGTGCTGACTAAGCTCAGCAGTCACCCCCACATCTCTGCACGAGTCGAAAGGATTCAGAAATCTCTTGCTTATGTGGACTTTTTTTCGTATGAATCACGAGTTTGGAGCAAGATATCCCATATTTCAGACACACAGAATCAGGAATAAAGAAACCCCAGTGAGAGGAAAGATGGCACACAGCACTACTTACAGGTGTAGGTCATCTCAAAGCTGTCGCTGATGTTCACAATGTCAATCTGGGGAAGGAGCTTGGGGGGTTCTGTGAGCTGAGACAAGGCAAACCGAAAAGCYGCATGTTCCTGGGACTGCTGATTAGGAAATAACCCCCCTGGGGAGAAAAACAGAACAGAGGAAAAGGTCTTAAATACACCCATATTAGAAGGCACTTTGGTCCAAAGCGCTTTGGTGGGCAGAGGCTGCAGCTGCCCAATTCAGGCTGTGCCTCTGTACCCCAACACGCTCCCATACACAAGACCCTGGGTATCCATGCCCACTGCAGGCAGGCTGGGAGCAGGAAACCTCTGCAGGTTGCACGTTATGTAATACCTGGAGCACAAACGCAGCAGCCCTCGTGCTCCCTTGGGCCTTGTGGGCAACAGGATCAGCCTGAACCAGGAACGTGGCTCAACCTTCCTCCCATGAGTTGAAGGAGGAGAAGTGCTCCCAGCTTTACCTTGAGAGGGGTGGAATTGGAGTATTTCTTCCTCCTCCCCCTCATAATTAGGCCCAGGTGGAAAGTTGCCTCCTGCTCTCTAGGAGGAGKGGTTTGCTCCAGGAGGAGGGAAAGGGCTCCCAGGGGCCAGGGATTCCTGGGGAAGACCCAGAGGGACAAGGGGATGAGGCCAGGGCTCAGCATGAGCTGGGGCAGTGCTTGGCCTTGCCTGTGCACCAGCACCTGTGGCTGCTGCTGCGCTGAAAAGCCCCAAAGTCACTTAGCAGGTGACAGGGGCAAACGCAGAGAGGGCAGGAACTGAAAACTCAGCCCTGAAAGGGCTCGAGCGGAGCAGAAACACAGATAAACCCTGACCCGCAGCGCAGCAGAAATCACATGTGACCCCAGGACCAGGCTGCACCTGGGCTCAGAGCCTCATCTGCCCCTAGTAAACCCTGGAACAAAGCGCAGGATAAGCAGGTCCTAGGAAAAGTTTCCACTGCTGCCACTGCAGGAAACTTGGCTTGCAGCACATCCCTTCGTATGTGCCAGAAAGATGCTATTGGATTTGGCTTGTCTTGTAATCTATGTGCATGTAGTAGCAGCTCTGTTATTCTCATTTTACGGGTAGGGAAACAAAAGCGCTCAGCAGCAAGGTGGAATTAGAATAAAGAAGCAGCCAGTGGCAATCCTGGCCTCCAGGGCAGATGCTCTGGGAGAGAAACAAATGTGCGGACACCTGCTAAGCAGTGGCATTTTGCACATCTCCGGTACAGAGGGCATCCTCTTGTGCAGCAAGGGCTGTTTGTGCATGGATGTGCCTCCCTCCCTTCCCCCCCAGCCTATTCATGGGTGTCAGAGGAGGAAGCAGCTAGCAGCTAAGTTAAGCTATTATATATGTTTGCTGAAAGGGAAGGAATTGGAGATGCTGCACAGATTTGGGGTAAAGGGGAGGCAGGAAGGGAGGGAGAGCAGGATGCAGCATAAATGGCAATAAAAGCACCAGTTGTGCAGCTGGACTAAGGCGGGAGTTGCTTCAAGTTGGGGGATTAGCAACTGATTGGCATCGTGAGGACAGAGGCGGTGAGGAAGAAAGGCAGCAGGCAAGGGAAGGGAATCTGGGACCTGGTTCCAAGTCATAATCAATAAAGATCAATGGGAGAGTAATAAGCAGCCCGGGGAGGAGGGCGAGGAGCACCGAGAAGTTACGGAATGGGAGCCGGGGAGAAGGGAATCAAACAGGCACTGCCCGCGCGYGGGGGAAGCGAGTAGCATGAAATGAAGCCAGGCTTGAATGCAACGTCTTCCTCCACTAGCTCTGCCCTTATTCTTTAGCAACAACAACAGAGAGCGCCTGTTTGTTACCTCTCGTCCCAGTTACCTCCAGAGGAGAGGGAGCATCCTCACAAAAGCGTACAAGGCAAGCGCCGCTTTTGCAAATGCAGCAATGCACAATGGCAGCCCAGGCATTTCTCATAGCAAGAAACGGATTTTCTTTTTTTTTCTTTTTTTTTTTGGATGCTTCCTCCATTTCAGAGGCACTTTTCCCCCTCGGTGTTGGTGTGTGCACAGGCATTTATTCCATTTCCTGACCCTCAACAAATTGCTACACATCTCTGCCATTGCAACAGCCTCCCCAGCTTGTTCCAGCACACAAATGCAGCCTGTGCTGATGCCCCCATCTCTCTCTCTCTCTCTCTCTCTCACACACACACACACACACACACACACACACATTCTGCGAATGGACGGGTCAGTTTTCCCCCGCCACCCCCTCTCCACCCCTACCACTTGCCGGGAACATCGCTCCTCACCGGCCCCGAGCTCTGCACTCACCTATCTGGATATTGTTGGGGAAATTGGCCCCTAACACCGCCCCTAGGAAACTGGTGCAGAAGAAGGCAAAAATGTGCTGCATATTCCCTTTTGCATTGGCGAAAAAGAAGCCCAGCTCCAAGCATAGATTTGATTTTTCCCCCGCTCCGCTCTCTTTAGCTGGCTCCCTCGCCTCCCTTCCGCTGCGCCGTCTGGACCGGGCGTCTCTTTCTGGGGGAATCCAGCGCTGAGCCTGCTGCTTAACACCGACTGACAGCAGGATTAACTGAGCGCTGCGAGGGAGCAAGAGAGCCCGCTCCTCATGCACATCCCTCCCCCGTCACACGCACGCGCGCGCACACCCCGCGCGCTCCCCTCCAGCTAATTTGCCTTCCCCTCGTTAGCGCTCAACAGCTGGGCGCCGCGGGCCCCTCGCTCCRCCGTGGCCCCTGGGCTCTGCTCGCTTAGGGCACCTGCACCTATGCCGAAATTCCACCTGCCCCCTTGCCCCTCAGCTTCTCCTGGCACCAAAAAAGGTGGGGGAAAAAAGCCCTGCAAATCAGTAGGTGGCAAACTCCTCTAGGGAAAGGGCTCCACTGCTCTGCCTCCAGCTACCGCTTCCCAAACCGGCCTCTTTGMCCCTGGACCGGGAGTTGTGAGCGTCAGTCTCGACATCCTGGCTCCTTAGGATGGTTAAAAGGGATGGATCCTGCAAACGTGCCCTGGAGGGAAGGATTTCAGAGGTCCAGATAAGGGAGACCCTGAAGAGGACCAAGGAATCTCTCCCCACCACCTTTCTTGTTGGGTTCCCCCTCATCTCCTTGCTGCCCACTGGTGACCTCCAAGGCATCTCCACACCAGCCAGGGTGGCTGCAGAGGAACGTGTGCTGGCCAGCACCGTCACAAGGGTCAAGCTTCCAGAACTGGGGGCTTATTTTAGCCCGAATCATTGCAGGAGCCATTTTGCCACAGTTCTGGTGAGGTTATAGCTTATTTCACCAAAAACAGCTTTGCTCCAAAACACAACAAAAAAGGCAATAAAATTAATGACAATAAAAAGACAATCTTTGGAAAAAACGTGAGATTTGGAGATGTTTTGGGTAGAAATGCTTATGCGGCAAACACAGAGTCATCTCAGAAAGGAAAAATATCATCCATTCACCTCAGAAATATGTGTAGTCCAAACCAAACCAGGGGCTTCTTGTGCCAGACCCCATCTGTCCATGACCGAACCAGACTGGTGGCCCTGACTCTCTGCAACCCGCCTAACACAGAGGATAAAAGGCAGAGAGGAAACAGTGGGAAAAGAGGCTTGTCCATGGCCAAGCCTGACCTGTTAGCTCAGCTGCTCCATGGCCATGTGTGGTGCTTTGCTCTGGTCCCCTCTCCCCGTTTCACAAAGCATGAGTTTAAACTGGAAGAGCATCAATGGGTGATACTACGATGCTCAGAGATCTGGGATTGCTCCTGTATTAGAAAATGTAGACAGAACAGGACTCTCTGCAGAAAAGGGTAGTTGAAAGGGGATGTGACCGATTAAATACACAGAAGCACAGAGACATCCTCCTTTGGCCACAAAGAACAAGCAAGAAGGTACTTTACAGAGGAAGGACAACACTGCTCATAATACACACAAGCTTCTTATGAGCAAATACTCTTGGAAACAGAGGTAGTACCATGTTTTTGTAGTGCAGCAATAGTGTCATACACAATTGTGCTCTGTCTCCACAGCTAAATGTGACAAGGCAGGAGAATGCACCACAACTCACGTGGCTGTGGGCACAGACTCTGAGCAAAGAAGCGTGACTCTTGCTCCATGCAGAGACAATCATTTCACCTCTGCAAATGAGAGTTTGGGATCCTTAACCTCCTCCTGGACAGCCATACAGATTTCTGGGATGACAAAATGCATTATTTAACCCCCACATAAATGCCAGATTAAGTGCAAGGTCTGCACAGCTGTGGTCTAACACCTTGCATCAGAGCAGCGCTGCACTGATGCCTGCAACCTTGCAGCACCTCACGACAACAGCACGTACAGTTATACTGCAAACACACATCCAGAAGACTTGAATCTTCCTTATGGCAAGCAATAAAACATCCCTCTAGGATGCAGTCCTTTTTCCCTAGGATACCCTTGACCAGGGCAATGCCTCTTGCCATCAGAAAGTCCAGGTTTTTTATGGCAATTTTTCTCTCATTGAGGAGTGACTTACAGGTGGGCAAAGGATGCTCTTCCTCTCTGTCTCACTGCCTGAGTGACCCGAGACAGACTCACCCACAAGTTCACGTTGGCTATCGATGGGCAGCACCTTTGTCAGGCTTCCATCTCGCTCCCTAATTTAAGCAGTGCTATCTGAGTCTAAAATAACCCACTGATAGGCTTTATGGGCTTTTGCTCTCCAAAATTTAATAGAAACAGCTGCATTTGTAATGTGAATAAAGGCACTGAAGTAAAAGCAATGTAACAGAAAGACTTCCAGCACACTTTGAAAACTCCCAAGCAATCTTGCCAGTAGTAATAATAGTAGCCACAACAGTAAAACACTGTAGTAGCTAACAGAGAGCTTGCACAKTTGCATGAATTAATAATGCTGCTTTTGTCTATAAACCTCTCAAAGTACAGGTGGCTTAATAAGGAGAACTTTAACACCAATGGAACGAGATAAGTAGTAATAAGACTATTATTTTAAGAATGCATTAATTTCCTTTTTCCCTTTAGATAACAGCATTTTAGTCAGTTTGTTACAAAGATGTTAGAAATTAATTTTGGCTGCTTTGAAAATGACTTGAATCAACATCAAAGCAATGGCAGGTGGTTAATTTTTGGCTAACATCAAATGCAGTGATGGGGAATTGCTGAAGCTCTTGGATGGCACATAGATGGTCACAACAGAAGGAGAGATCAACCTCCAGGCAGCACCAAACACCAGGCAACAGTCCCAGGTCCTTCTGAGTTGTTATCAATTGAATTATTTAGACTTCAAAAGAACAATTAAAGGGGCTTATTCCTCATTTCAGGAGACAAGGGAAAACGTTTGGTACAGCATTTATGTATATGGCACAGTGCTGTCTTTATGGGGAGAAATACAACATACTCCTATTTTATCTTAAAGAGTCTGTAAGACGTATGTGGGACAGAAAGCACGCCTTGGTTAACAGCACCTCACAGGTCTTGTGGAATGAAACCCTGCAATGGAGTTGTAAGGCATTGTGTAATGTTAAACATGTCTAAAAGAAGGGGCCTTCCGATTTAAGGGAAGAAAGGCCATAAAGGGGATTTTAGAAGTGGTTCACAGTTAAGCTCTTTGCCAGACGTTACAATAAGAAAATGAACCATCAGAACTAACTTTCCCATTGCCCTGCCTGGGGTTGACCCTGCTGTACTGGCTGAGAACTGTTGTTCTCACCCATTTCTGCTCCAGAACGTTTGGCGTGCGCTCAAATCTCATCGCTCMGGGGCCATCTGCCACCTACATTCCCCTTCTCTCGGCTTTGTACGACACCAAGCCATCCACGAGAGCACAAGGGTCCACCTCCTGCAGCAGGGCCTTCGTTTCCAGGGTAGGAAATGAGCAGTCGTCGCAGCAGAAATATTTCTGTAGCAGAATCCGCGGAAAAACAAAGGGCTCATTCACATGCAGAAGCCTCCAGCCTTGAAGAATGAGGAAGCCGAGGGAACGTGGCGCACATCCGACCTCCCGGCAGAATTGTTCCCCCCGGTGCCCACTGTGCTTTACGTGATGCTCCTGGATGCCTTTAAAGAGGCTTTGGAAATATCGCTATTTCTAAAATCCCTCTTTATTTTYTTTTAGGTGGCCAATCTCTACAGGAGGCTTTTGATAAAGGGCAGAATATAATTATAATGATTAATTTAAGCTAAAAATTCAAAACAACATAGACTGTCATCGGGGTTTTTGCATAGCCTCGGCATAAATGAATGCTAATGGAGTGGCACTGCTTCCCCTCGCCCGCCGCTCACCTCACTTTTGTTCCTCTGGGTAAGGCACCTCTCAGGAAACGACAAGGTGGAGGTCACAGCACAGAGCAGACTCCAYAAATCCAGAGAGGGAAGAATCCAGAAGAGATCAAAGGGGAAAAGGAGCCTAAAGGAAGGAGAAAGGGCTGTGGTTCCTTGTGGCAAGGACACTGCTTGGGAGGGCTCACCTGTGTCCTCGCTTTACCGGGGCTTGTCCCCACGGGCAGTGTCACCACAGCAAGGACAGCGGCAGACCCCAAATTCACACTCCGAGAATCCCTAAAGTAGAAATCATGGGGGATTTGAGCTCTTTACAGTCATTTCCATGTGTGCCYATACACTGTATTTTAGCATTACATGTTTACTTCTGTTTTTTTTTAAAACTGGAGGCTATTTTTCACACCAGCAAAAAATAGCACCTACATTGCAGACCTCAGAACATCTTTAGTGGAATCTCCTGCATGAAAATAGCTACAGTGACATTTGATATCAAGCAGAAGAAAATCTCTCATCTGTGCATCAGGGCTGTCTACGGACCACTCTTTTCTTTGCCAGCAGCCAGGGTTGTCAGAGGAAAACTTTTGGACTCCCAGAAGCAACTCAGAGAAGCTAAAGGAAGCATGAGCTTCACTACTTCTCAGGGTGCATAAAAGATGAAAATGAGGGGCTGGGGCAACTGTAGATGATGCAGATGAGTGCTGCAGCCATTCACCATCCCCATCACGGGCACAAGGTGAGACTAGTTGTAAGTGGGTCCCACCTGGTACCAAGCAACATTGGGGGACTGATATTTTAATGTTACCAGATAGCGCTTCCTAATCTACTGACTGTGGTGGGAGAAGCCTGATGTGAACCGGAACTGGGAAACATCAGCTTTTTCCATGAACTGTATAAGAAAGTGYTCCTGTTGTCGTCATGATCCGCTTATTACCATATTCATAAGAAATTACCTCTGGCTCTCTGTGGGATAATTAGGTAAGTAAATGGACTGGAAGATAAACCCGCCAATCAAAATGGTACTGAGGAGAGTGTGCACCTTTCAGCTGGAATTTCATGAACAGCAGCTGGGAAATGGATGCTCTGGCTTGGCTCAGAGGCCCTRGAACATGCGGAGGACCATTATCCTCAAGAACTGGATCTATTGTATCTCTGAATGGACACAGAGCCCTTCAGGGCAAAGGCTTGGGGATCCCAGACTCTGGTGACGCATAAAATTGTGTACTTAGTGAATGCAAGTCTTGGATGCTTCTGAATGGCATCTTTACTTGCAGAGTTCTTGGACCAGTTTAGTCTGCCTACTGG